TTCTTTAATTTTAAAAAGAAAAAAAATTTGCTATTAATTTTATATATAATTTATGAGTATTATACTCTACCTTTAAATATCAAATAATATAAATTTATAAATAATATATTACTCAATTTGCTTATTTTTAAAAAAGTTAAAAAAAACTTAAAGTAAAGTTAGTATAGTCAGACCTTCTTAAGTGCACTTCTATAAGTGCACACCCTCCATAAATGCACCCTAAAGTCCGGTCCTAAGCTGGGACTATAGTGTTAAGTGCACACCCTCTATGTTCTGCACGTGTATTTAATTTTACTATTAGACTACCTTCTGTAAATACACTATCATGTGCTGATAAATCGTCTTGACCAATAAAATTTTGCAGACAACGTGTAACCTCTATCTAGTCTAATTTTGGATCTCCATCTCAACATTCTTTCATCTAGAGATGCAAACCCATTTGTCGATCCTAATAGTTTTTGGCCCGCATTACGATTAATTTGAACTGAAAACTGTTAGGATTGACAAACAGTTAGCATCTCTACTTTTATCAGATTTACATAACATGGTTCAATTAACTGCTTTTTTAGTAAATTTTTTTTGTGTTCTTTTTTTTTTTAAAAAAAAAAATTTGATAGCATATTTATCAAAGACTGTATTTAATTAATTCATTTTTAATTAGATCTTTAATTAGATCTTTTTTAATTAACTCTTTACAAAATAATTTAAGAACAATCTGGTTATAAAAAATGATCAAAAAAAAAAATTAAATAATGAATCTGCTGCTTTAGTGGCTCTTAAATTTGATAAGCAACGCTTTTGCATTTACTTCTAAGCAATACAGTATTTTTGTGCCTCTCTAATTTTTTATTATCATTTTTTTGAATACTGTAATGCCAAAAAGAACAATATTACCAGACACACAAAAATTTGAATTCTGTGTCTATGCCCGTGATAACAAGAGGACTCGCCCAGAATTTGTGAAGTGGATTGAAGAAAATTGGGGGTCAAAGTTAATGAGTCTACAATCACTCGAATCTTACAAACTAAGGACCAATGACTTTCTAATGAAATTGTAAATCCAGAAGCCAAACACTATAGAGCTATTACTGTACCAGAGCTTGAGCTAGCACTTAAGAAATTTATTCTAATCTATCAATATCGCACTATTCTAAGTGATGCTATGATTATTAAAAAGGCAAAATTGTTAGCAGATGAACTTGAAGTTTCTGAAAACAAGTTATATTTTTCTTCCAGGTAGCTCCAAAAATTTAAAGAGCGAAATGAGATCTGTCAAATAAAGCTTTATAGAGAAGCAAGATCTGTTGATGAAAATGTTATTACAGTATCTTTGCCCTTATTGCAAAGTAAATGTTCTGAATATCCTCTTGACCATATATATAATATAGACAAAACTGGGCTTTTTTATTGGTAATTTTTTTTGAATAAAAAATACACTTTCTAGATTGGAACCAGATCAAACCTTAGCGACTCGACGAATTGCAGGTCGCAAAAAAAATAAAAAAACATATTTTTGTAGCATTGTGTGCAAATGCTGATGAATTCCATAAGTTGGCCCTCTTGTAATTGGCAAATATGCCAAACTCTGATGTTTCAAAAACATGAGAATTAATAACTTGCCTATGATATATAGAAGCAATGCTAAGGCTTGGATGCTTGTGGTTCTTTTTCAGGAGTGGCTTCAGGATTTTGACAACCAAATGCTGCAAAAGCATAGGGACCAGCGTGTTCTTTTACTTCTTGACAATTGTTCTAGTTATAAGTTAGATGAGTTAACTCTTCGGCATGTAGATGTATATTTTTTACCCAAAAATACAACTTCAAGGATCCAACCAATAGATGCAGGAATAATCATGGCTTTTAAAAAAGCCTATCATCATTTTCATCTTTAGTAAATTATTGTTGTATTGTTATTTTATTATTTTTTTTATTGTTTTACTCATTCTTCGCTTTATTATTTTTATTTGTTTAATTCTTAATCCTGGTAGCCCATTTTACTAATAGTTTATTCAATAGTAGTCAATTACATAATATAGTCTTTAATAATAAGGCTGTCAGTGAATCAGGCTATCAGTAAAATGGGGCTGGATATTGGTATTGAATTTTACTCTTTATGCAATAGTTATTAAATCCAGATTTTCTTAAAAAAAATTTTTTTTTTAAATATTAGGTGGATGTTGGAACAAGTCAAAGCAGGTAATTTCGTTCAGGATTTGAAAATGGATGTTTTGCAAGCGATCTTGTATATTATAAAGAATTGGGAAAAGGTTTCGGCTAAAACCATACGTAATTGCTAGCATTATACAAAAATTCTCCTGTCTAGTGCAAATATTTCAGAAGATTTTTATGAAGCTAGCGATTTAAGGCTTGAAGGTCTTATTAGATCACTAAATACTCTCTGTCTTTCAAATACAATGAAAACTGATAAATTCTTGAATTTTAATGGTGAGGATATTGTTTACAAAGTTTCCTTGAAAGATCAAATCTTTAAGGAGCTGGCTTATGTGTTCAGAAATGATGAAAGTGTTGAAGTTATAGATGAAGAAAATAGTGAGGTAATGGATAAAGAGGATGACGATAGTGTGAAACCTGCAGTTGTTAGTAATAGCTCAGCATTAAATAGCTTAGAAAATGTTCGGATGTTTTTACTTCAGCAGGAAGGCTCAAGTGATCAATTAATTTTCTTGAGAAATTTATTAGAAGAATTATGTCAGGTTCTGCTTAGCAAACTCACATAGATGAATATTTTAAAACGTAAGAATTGAATGGATTCTTTTTAATAAATTAAAAAAACAGGTAAAGAAAAATCTTCTTTCTGTAACTTAATATATGCGAAAAACTGATGGTAATAATTGTAATTATGAACAACTTAGCAGTGTCATGACAATATCGTGGGCTGGTAGATTATTTATAAAAATTAAATAACATTTGGCATTTTTTTTTTATTAAATTTATATATTTTTTTTTTAAGAATTGTTTTTCTTTTTTAAATTTATAAAAATATTGATTAAATCAGGCTTTATTACACCATATTAAAGAAATTATGCAATGGATTAATGAATTTATTCATACAAGTTACAAATAATTTGTACATTCAGCAGATAATAACATGTTTGAGCAATTTTAAACCCTATTTATTTTAAGAAGTTTATAAATCTTACATGCATATACTCCTGATTTTAGAATTTCAAAACGTAAAAGAAATTTTTTAAGCTTCCACTTATTCTCAAAATAAGTTACAGCTGTTTTCATCTAGGATACCTGGAAAAATTAGCTGAATTATTTTTAGGCCAATTTGATTATATTTATAATAAATTCTGGATCAACTGAAAAAATTGCTGATGACTGAATTGATAAATTACCAAGTCAGAATCAATAAGTAATTGAATTTATAAACTTATCGATTTAGTCGTTGGCAATTTTTTTAGTTGTTTTAGAATTTATGAATACCGCCATAATAAGTATTACTGTATCTGAAATTATACATGTATGTACTGTATAGTAAAATATACAGTACTGTATCAATTTATAAAATCTTTATCGTTATGCCAAAATCATAAAATTAATCGAATCGGCTGAAAAATCATTCTGCTAATTTTTTTCAAGTGTCTCGGGTGAAAACAGCTGTAATCTTGAAATCTTATTTTAATTAGCATGCTGATAACTTTTTGTAAGTGTTTTTTAGGCGAGTTTCAATATTAAATTAAAAATTATTTTGATTGAATGATCATGAATTTGTGTAACATAAACCCGTAGTTTCCTAAATGCACACCCTCTCTAAGTGTATGTTTATAGTTGGTCCCCAGGGCATGCACTTAGAGAGGTCTGACTGTAGTAAAGTATATAATAAAAAAACTAAAGACTTAAAAATTTAAAGAAAATTAAAAAAAACTAATACAAATCAAAAACTTTAGTAGCAAAGAAAATTTGAATATAAAGCAATTTTAAATACAAAAACTAGTTTGTTTAATTTGAGTATTATTTGAGTTGTTCGAATTGTTGCGAAAAGCTTAAATTGTTACAACAATGTTGATTGTAGATCTAATTATATCCTATTTATAGTAAAATACTTGGCACTTATCACGTAATTTTAATTTTAATTATTATTAATATATATTTTTGAACGTTTTCAATTTCTGAACTATTTTCACTTATAATTAAATAATTTGATATAATTTTATTTTATTCAGATTAATTTGAATTATTTAAAATTATTTGAATATTTTCACTACTACTATTCATAATAAAACTTAAAATAATGTTAACATAATGAATTTAATTTATATACGTTAATTAGAATAGTTTGTATAGGTTACAATTAATTCACAATGATTTGAATAGAGTTAAATTATTTATCTGTATGATTTAGTATAATTCCAGTAAGTTCGAAATACTGAGTATTAATTTAAATTATATTGAATATATACATATATTTTAAATTTATTAATTTTAACATACCGAATATAATGAATTTAATTTATTAAAAAAACAAGATTAAATTTAGTATTTTATATAAATATATTAAAATGTATTCTTCGCTCTTATTATTAAAATTTTTTGCTTGAATTTTTTTTTACATACTTAAATCGTCAGAACTTGAAACTTTCCAAACTTTTTAAATTTAAAAACTTAACTCTAGAAAATGTCTAAATTCAAATATATATTCTGCTCATGTACCTTTGCAAACCACAATAGATTAACTCAACATATGAATACTTGTGTTAATACTGCAGAAGTTGAACCTATTGTTGTAAAAAAACCTGCTTAAATTTATAACTTTTCGAAACTACCCAAGATAAAACAAAAGCAATATAAGGTTATTAAAAAACGTAAAACTAATCATGATGAATTTGCAAAAAGAATTTCGTTTAAAGATATCAAGTTTCACAACATTTTGAAATTAGTTAAAGATAACGAAATTACTTCTAATATTCATTTAGATTATACTAATGCTGGTTCTTCAAGTGTAGCTAATATGGATGAACTTTCCAATAGTTTAGCCAATATGTCATTTGAATTTGAAACTAATAATGATAATTCGAATAGTTTTGAATTAGATCCTGCTGATAATTTACTTGAGAGACTTGAAAACAGTTTGCAAGAATATTAGGAATTTTTTAATAAACTTTTAAATGATTCAGCTTTTACCAAAGAAATTCGAAACTCTTCAGATGATGAAGAGTTGAATCAGAAACATGCTAAATTTCCTAATGAAGTTTATGCCGATTTAATAGTTTTGGTTACTAAATATAAGCTTAGTAATGCTGCTAAGAATGCTATTATTTCATTTTTTAATAAGCATTCAAATCTAGAAGTATTATCTTTACCAAAAAATATAAAACAAAGCAAGGATTTTATGAATAATATTAAATCTAACTCATCTTATAAGAAAACAAAAGTATTAGATCTTAATAATACTGAGTATTT